ATCTACTTTTTGCTAATTAGGAAGAATTGAAGATAGAAGAGTAGTTAGGGTAATAGTTTTATTGTTCGGGGATGCTTAGAAGAGCCTTCGGGAAATGTTGGGTACAACCCTGATAGTGTTCTTTAAAATATTTTTGAGCTAGGTATTTTATAAAAGAGAGAAAAATTAGACTGCTGGATTATTTTTAATGGTGTTCGTACTAAAGATAATAAATTAGGATTACTCGTAGGTGTATTCTTCGTGCCAATTTGTCTCGTCGTTAGGGGTAGTCGAAGATATATGAGGGAAATTTCGTAGATTCTGTACTCAGATATAATAATTAATTAGAATTATTTATAGCCCTTTCCATCGACTTATCTGCTAATTAGAAAGAATTGAAGATAAAATAGTAGTTTTATTGTTTCGGGAATACTTAGAAGAACGATGATGTTCTTTAAAATATTTTTAAGCTGAAAATTCTATAAAACTGAGAAAAATTAGGCTGCTAGATAATTGAGAGATTGTTTTTACTGATGTTCATACTGAAGATAACAAACTAGGATTATCCATACGTGTACTCTTCGTGTCAATTTGTCTAGGGATAATCAAAGAAATAGTCGAAGTGGTAATAGAGAAGTTCTACCGAATTGTATTTTACAAATTCAGAAACTTTCGCAGACTTTATACTCAGACATAGTAATTACTTGGAATTATTCGCAAGTACAAATTCTTTCCATCCACTTATCTATCAATTAAGAAGCATCGAAGACAGAATCGGGATAAGTTTCACTGTAATATCCCTATACTTGTAAATTCCCCAAAAATTCTAGTTCCTTCGTCCATTATGTGACATAACCTAGGATTTGCCTGTTTGTCAAGAAAGAACAACTAAAATCAAGTTTTACGCGTTAAAAAAACATTCTGCAAATTTCACCGAGTAAGACGACTTCATTTGCAGAGCTTTAAAGTATCTCGGCAGTATCTCGAAAATGAAGACACGTAATACGCGGCGTTTTCCAAAGTATCTTCGCGAGGCAAGCAAATTTCCAGAATTGCTCTAACACGCGCACGGATTTACACGTGTAACACGCACACGTAAAGAAGCACGACTCATTATACGGTGTCATCTCTCAAAGAAGCGATACAGCAGATGGAAGTTGAAGGTTGACTACGGAGGGGCGGATCGGAGGAAAAGAGGGAAATGTATATCGCAATTTTTAAAGGACACTTAAATAGAATATTACGAGGGTTGCCGGTGAAAATGTGTTACCATTGACTTTTAGGGGAGAGAAACCAGCGGGGAATAAATTGTTTCGTGCCACAGAATCTCAAGTAAATACTCGCCGTGGCTTTCCGCGAGGCTTCTTTATATCGCGCCGGTAATAGAATAAAGAACCGACCACGCAATGGAAATTCTCACTTTTTGCATAATTGACGTATCCCCAGGAGCGTACCGGCGAATTGAATTATTTTATCCTCGTGGTAATGTGATTTAAATACAAGAAACCGGCAAAGAGATGATGCTGTAACGTTCTCGTGAAGTACAGCAGGCAGATGTAAATTTCGCTGCAGTCTCCACGTCTCCTTCGTCGCGTGAATTTTTACAACTTTACGGAGGAATAAAAAGAAAGAAGAAGAAAAACGATAAGCAAAGGAAGTTAAAGAAGCGAAGAAAGTGGCTATGACGATCTCGCGATTAACGTCTCAGAAATTCTCGAATCTTGAAGATTTTGATCTCCTCCGTGTAACTCTAACCTAAAACAGAGCAGACGCTGAATTTCATGAAGCGACGGGCTTTAAAATTTCCCGTTTGAGAAGCCCGCGATGTAAGCAATGGAAACGCGACGCTATTGTCTTCCGTCGCAGCCATCGCGGGGAAAAAATCGTTTCGTGTCTCCTGGGATTCTTCAGAAAGACCTTCGTGCACCTACGATCCGCTCGTCACGGGTTTACTCCACTTTTCTCGCGTAGTTTTCATCGCATAGTTTGTATTTCGCGGTTTAAACATAGAAAATAGAAAGATCTAGAAGAGATCGAGACTTAATAGAGACTGGCAATAGAGAATCTAAGAATTTTCAGGAAACGCGTTACGTTCTCCTTCTGACAGATAATTGCACGATTCTACGTGTTTTAATAGTTAGGTTGGTAAGCGTGATCTTGGTTACAATAGGTATCTGACTTTTCTAAGCGAAGTATCGAGACGGTTGATGAGGTTTTCTTCAACATGGTCAATATCGGTATTGCAAGTTTTAGATACAGAAGTAATCGTAATACATAATCGTCGCGAAGGAAAAACATAAATATTTTTTTAATACACTGTTGTCACTGGTAGTTTGTAGTTTAGATAGGTGTGTAAATATAAGAAGAAGTAAAATGTGTGCTTTTCGCAAAGAAAACGCGTGAAGGTTTTTCGCGCACAATTTACCCAGCGTACCTTCTTCTAAGTGGTTGGATATGAAAACATGCGAATACAGTACAATGTGGAATTTTCATGAATAAAATGTGTTAAGATTTTTTCGACGCGCTTAGTCATTGTACTTCCAGAACAATTAAATGTATAAATACAGGATCGACTTCATCGTGTAATTCTCATGAAGATGAAACGTATGGATTTTTCCTAACAAGGTTGGTCATTCTAGATTTGAAACAATTGCTCGTAAAATCAACTATGCGTGAGAATGTGTCGATATAGTTGGTTACACTATATTACTTATTAAATACATATATGTGTGTGAAGAAACTACCAATCACAAGGTGTATAATAATTCCCAGAAAGAAGAGAATCAATGATTAACGATATTCTCTAATATGAAGAAGAACTTTAAGTTAATTCGGAATTATTTTCTCCGATCTTTGCTTCGATGATCCTCGAAAGAGACATTACAGAGATCTCCCTCACCCATTAAATTCGCTAAAAATTTTCTTTCCAACGACCAGAAACTCCTCGACGGTCGCTTTAAAAGGGAGCACTAGATCCATTCCCATTCTTCTCGTCAGAGATCCCTGTTTCTTCCACCCTCGTGTCGCATAACGAGCAAATAATATTGCCGAAAAATACGCAAAGATCTGCCTGACCATCTCGTACCCTTCCACGTCGAATGGAGTCAAAAGATTTTCAACGTTCGATGTTCAGCAACGATAGAGACGGTGGGAATTATGGCCGCGCTGCAGCCAGCACCGACGACGAGAGCCCGTATTTATCACGAAGAGTAAAACTGACAGCAGTCCATTTCCTGTTCGTCCTGCCTGTCTGGCTGAACATAATATCTCCTGACGAAACAACGTGGACGCCGTTTGTTTGGGAAACAATGGACCGAAACAATACCCAATCCCTCCTCGGTACGCGGACACGGATACAGACCACCATTCTGATTTCCACGCCCCGTTACACTCTTCTCTCTTTCTATCGGCGAAGAATCTCGCCGGAGACCTCGAGGACTTCATAGATTCTCGCGAATGGACACGGAAGATTTTTCTTCCCGGCTCTTCGTCGCTAGTATTAACGTGTTTCGCTCTATGCGAACACCTGAGACGTCTCGCAAAAATTCCTCCTCTGATTCTTGGCCAGCGATGTCGACGGAACGTTAGTAACCCGAGAACACCGAGTGGAAGACAATGGAGATGGTCTGTCCTGGGATCTGCCTTTTTCGAGGAAATTGCTTAGTGCTGTACTTTGTTTCTCTCTTTTCCCTCTTTTCTCTTCACTTTCCCGTTTTTCGGTGCTAGATATGAAGGATGTAGAGGAAGAATTCGTAAGGTTTGCGTCCTGGTGCTGTGTTCTGGATTTGCTGTCTTGGGTGAGGGGCTGAAATCTTTCGAGGAAGATCGTTTCTAACCTATGTTTGACAAAGAAATTTGGTTACGTAAATTTTGGCGAAATTTTATAAAAATGAATTTCCGAATTACTCGATCTTGAATATCTAGATCGATATTTAAAGATAGATTGATTATATAGAAGTTCCTCTTTTTAATCCTATGTTTTTGTCTAATCGGGAAATAGAGTGACGAGGGTCTAGGTTTATAGGACTCGATGCAACTCGAATCGATCGGAGAAGTTATAACTATATCAATCACGAAGATCCGTCGGATATAGGGAACATTCCCTTACTAATTACTAATTGTTCCTGGCGCGATTGTTCATACGAGCGTGGCACGAAGTTTAATTGAAATACCTACGATCGTAGATTCTCATTAACGATTTCTCGGGGATTCCTCGTGGATTCCTTGCAAGACGTTCGCGCGAAACCGAACGTGCACTTGACAGAAATTAGTAATCCTTAATGGATGATGCGACGCAAGCCTGGTATTACTCATCCCTTAGCCAGTCATAGGCGGTGCCTGCCTGCTCTTAGACTTAACAACGCCGGATATTCAATTAATTTCAGAAGACAATAGTAGCGCGCCTCTGCTCCGACTTACTACACAACCATCTTCTATGCGTTCGATCATTACAGTGAACTAGGCAGATGTGCTATTCTATGATCCGCGTGAGCTCAAAGGGGAAATAGCCCAACCTGAGCAATACGTTCGCACAGGTTTCGGCGATGTCAATGATAGAAATCGAATTCCACGAATTAAAATTGGAGAATAGTGATGCGATATCGAAGTAGTAACTACATAGATCATATTCGAGAGAGTCACAAGATTAGAGACATTGATATTTTATTATCACAATCGATATACGAGTTACTTTTAGGCTATAGATATATTTGAAGTAGCATTGATGACCCTACTGACGCCATTTTTGTATAGGTATATATAATTAATATATGTTGCATTTCATTAACTCTTATATCGGAGTAAAAACGTAATTGAGTTACTTTTAGGCTATAGATATATTTGAAGTAGCATTGATGACCCTACTGACGCCATTTTTGCATAGGTATTATATATAATTAGATATACAATTGGGTATCCAATTATTTTCACCATGCGTTTTAATTCTTATCTTCCATGTTCTGATGTTAATCTACGACGATCTCTGACCACCTATGCATTTTAACTCTCTCCAACTTCTCCAGTGATCATCCTAGTGACCCAGCACCATGACGACGACCACGGGTGATCCGTCGACTCTCAAAAGCCCAGCCTCGCTTTCCGGCGGCGACCTGGTCTCCCGCCTATTAGCAGCGACACCACCGTACTTGTACAACGTACCTCTAACACCGCACAGCTTCTTCTTCAGCGAGATGCTCCGTTCCTTCGTGCAAGCAAAGACCGAGGTCTCGTCCGCGACTAACACCACGAGTGCACCTCGGCGTCGCAAGAGATCCTGGCGAGATGCCCGTGATCGTCCCCTGGAACTGACCACGAAAGAGAGGCAACATCATCATCATCATCACCATTCCCAGCAACAGCAACAGCAACAACCTCAGGACAAGTACTTCCACAGCCAACAGCCACCCCAGCAAGCGGAGACACGGTTGGAGAACAGCAGCAAGCAGAGCGACAGCTACGACCCAGCTAGCAAGGTGGGCAACTTTGAGCAAAAGCCAAGTTTCGGAGCTGACATACTGAAGTCCGTCGATGAGAACAAGTCGGAGTTCAGCAAGCAAAGCAAGAGTTTCTTCGACGAGCGACCACGTCACTTCGAGCAGGCCCAGCCACCTGAAAACATATTTTCCAGTGAGTTACAGAAGATCAAGCCCGAGGAGTCGCACTCCAGCGACCGCAAGACTTGCAGTTACACCGACAGAAGCCCGTACGACGATCGCACGAAAAGCTCGATTGGCAATCCAGATTTATCACCCATGTTGTCAGACCAGAAGAAACTCGACTTCTCGAGGAACTTTCTACCCAGCCTTCCGGGTAGGGGCTGCGACATGCTTCCGGGCGTGAAAGGATTCGGTCTACCAGGAAACGTGACCAACCCTGAGTTTCTCCCTAGCCCACTTTGGTACCCACCTTATCCTATGCCTCAGTCCTATCCCGGGATAGATCCTTTGCACTTTTTCATAGACCTCCGCGTGTCTGGTCACATCTGGGATCGCAAGCTGAGCGAGAGGCAGCTGCCCTTCAAAGGCAAACATTGCTCTGCCTTCAGCGTGCCACAGTCCAAGGAGTATAATAGTAATAGGCCGTTAAATCTGACGAGAGACGAGGCTAGCACGTCCAGGAGCAGTGAAGAAAATTTGCGTGGCACCAATTATATTCTCAGACATCTCACTAGGACATATAGAGACATCAGCCATGCACGGAAAGCGTCCAGAAGTGAAACCTCGACTTCTGCAGAGAGCGAGGAGAGCTCGAAGGACGTTGATAACAGTGGGTGTTAAAATTGTCCCTGCATGATTTGTGGTCTTTTACTATGATTCATTTCCATTCTGTGGAACAGTTTAGAGTAACTTACTTTATGGTATCTTGGTGTACAGGGTTCCAGTAATTTCAACAATCAAACTTGGCAAAGCAACAAATTACCCTTCTGAAAAGGAACCTTCTGTAGATATTCAAATCACCAAATTTTGAGGGAATCTTGTTTCACAGATGTTCTTTGAGCAATTTTTGTATTTAATCCGTATGTACCAACTGGAAGAGCACCATTTTCCAAATTTAAAATCACAATACCATTTATAAAATTTTGCTCTCACAGAAATATAGTATATTATTGCTGTTCCTTCTTCAGACAATCTTTGAAACCAATCTGAAACAATAATTATAATAATTAATGTATATTCACAAAGTGAAGAAAAGTTAGTGTCACATATATCTCATAATGTAGTATAAAGTAGTTCAAAGAACTTATCTTTGATTAATTAAAGATTTTGTTATGAAACGCAGGCAATAGGTCCCCGAAACCGGAAGACATCGCCGTTGCGTCCACAAGTCCGGAAGAAGAGAGGAAGGATCTCCGAGCGTTGATAGGGTTGGAGCTGGTGGTGGATTACGTGAAAGAACCGAAGGGAGATACCCCAAACGAGCAGACTTCGCAAGTAACCGAATAACTCGTGAAAATCGAACGATTCTCTTTCGTTCTTGCCTGTATAAATAGATGTAGCTCCGACATTTACAACCTCGGCTGTTTTTCACTCGACTACGTCGTTCGTATAGAAACTTAAAAAAGTGGCAACTCCGCTACTTTGAATCGTTACAAAACAATCAGATTTAACAGATTGTCAACCTGCCGTATCACGTTAAACATTAAGCGATATTTTTAAATTTCATTTTTCAATACATGTTAGTCAAATTTAAATTTCATTTCAATACATGTTAACACTAAAACTACCAAACTCAGTAAAAGCATAACTAGTCTCTAGGTTTCTGGTTTTGAAGTTGTTCAAATTAACTTCGACTTTTATTCAAAAAGAAATATAATTATGTGTATATGGCTACTAATTTCATTACTAAAACTACCAAATTCGGTAAAAGCTTGACTAGTTTCTAAGTTTTTGGTTTTGAAGTTGTTCAAATTAACTTCAACATTTATTCAAAAAGAAATATGATTATGTGTATATGGCTACTGATTTCATTACTAAAACTACCAAACTCGGTAAAAACTTGACTAGTTTCCAAGTTTTTGGTTTTGAAGTTGTTCAAATTAATTTCGACTTTTATTTGAAAAGAAATATGATTATGTGTATATGGCTACTGATTTCATTACACTAGTTCAATTATTGTTATCTTACATAAATAGTGTGATATCATTATATTTGGAAACACATTATAAACTGGTAGTTCTAGTGTTAAACAGATTTCGAAATATAGCACTGGGTAATTTCCTATTTTATGATTCTTTATAAATGCTTTTAAGAATCTTTCTTTAGAAATATTTACAATTAACGAAGCTTAATTTGTTTGGTTGACAATGTGCTAATATTCCTTTCGATCTTGTACGATATCGAAGAATGATGATAGTCATGGAGGATCGAACACCTTGCTATTTTTCCGAGGTACTCTTGCCTTTGACTCGTCTCTCGCAATCTTTTACTTTTTCTTCTACTTTCGTTCGATGTGACTATTTAGAAAGAATTTTGCACGTTTAGAGACGATACTCGAAGATCTACAAGCCTCGAACCTTCATCGGTGCTATCTGTTGCGTAAATGGTAAACATAAATGTTCTGCTCTAATCTGACAAACCAGACAACATGCTGCTATCGAGTCACGCTCGATACGCAACCGAATAGCGTGAGACTTACGACATTTTGATATCGCAGTTTAGCCACGCACTTTTCAGACACATTGAGGTTTTTTTCATTCAATGATCTGTACCACCGTGTCTGTCGTTCTTTAAAGACTCTTCCTATCTTACACTCGAGACTCGACTCGACAGAGTCATTTTCCAGCGAGGAGAGAGAGGATTTTAGAGACCCTTCGTGGGCCGGAAATGCCCCGCTCCGAATTCGACTGTATGTGATATGCGGTGTACATATTATAGTAGCGTTCTATTGTATCTATATGTATTAATAGAAATCATTCGACCTGTATATTGAACGTAATAAAAGTAATGCGACTCAATCACATGAACCAATTCGTATTCTTTCTGCTTATCCTATTTCAGTTGATTAACAATTGGTCAAAGGTCGAGTCATAGAATTGATCAAGAACAGATTAAGAGACGCTTAGAAGATCTCGAGAATTCTTAGATTCTTGAGTACAAAAATGACCAGATACTCTCGCAAATATTAACATACTCGATGAACAAATTCTAACAAATGAAGATAAACATTAGGAAATCGAAATACAAGAACAAACTGTTAAATTATAAAGGCAAGATTTGTCTGGTATTCGTGTACAAGAATAATAATTTCTTTTCTAGACACATTACGCGAGTTTACGTCCGTAAGTTGCATCCAGCGAACTTAAAGATACGAACTTTCACGAGTACCAAACGAAGGGTCCAAACGCTCGCCACGCTCTAGCTCGATCTTTCGAAATGAGACAGAAGGAGGGAGGGTGACGCAGTCTGCGGCACATACTGCTTCTTCACCTTTCTGAATGCACTGGCACTCGTTATAATCGAGAGTACCCTCGAAGAAACGCACACAGGAGTAGAACGTCATATTCAGCCGGGTATGGTCACACTCTCTCCCCTTTCGGTCTCTCGACGTTATTTGACTAATAAACTTCTATCCAGAGTCTCCTTCGTCGATCGAGATACTGTTTCCCCGTTTTGTCTCTCTGTCTGGCGTCGTCGACACGGCTCTCTTTGACGCGGCCGTTGACAGAGCACAATTAGGGGAACCGAGTCCCCGATATGAGTGCGCAGAATGACAAGAGATACGTGGCTTTTAGGGACGAGGGCAAATCTGACGGGAGATATCGATCTGCCGACTCATTTGCAAAGGCTGAATGGAAAAGTTCGTCGGCGTGTTTGCGCGCGATTAGATAGATGAAGATGCGTTTCTAACGTGGACTTTCGTGTAAGATCATTCCAGAAACATTTCTCCTCGGATGTCTGTTTACTCCCAGAAGATCACAGCAAATTTTTACATGAAACGTTTAACTCCTCTTCTCTTGTGTAAGTTTAATTTATTCTGATCAGTTATGGATACAGTTCTTCGATGATCGGTATGCCTGGTAAAATAGATATAAAGAGATGTAATAAGAATTGCAGAAAATTGTCAACGTTGATTATCAATAGTTTACAAATTATGAAGTTTGAATATCGAATATACTGGAATTTTACAAATTTTATGTTTCTGACCTATGAACACTCCCTGAAGTATGAAATTAAGATCTGCATAATATGAAGTTACATATGTTTACAGATATTCAAGTCTAAAATGAAACAGACAAATCGTAGAAATTAGAAATAATTATAAAGATAAAATAAATCTATTTTAAGTTTTGTTACAGATGTTTGACAATTTACTAATTCCAGTATCAGGAAGAACTTTTAAAGTAACAAACTTCACAGTAATGAACTTTGTAATAACAAATTAATTACGATAAGAATTAAAAACAATTGTCTATTTATATGAAAAGTGTCGATATCTTTTATCGATACGTTATTACCATACTGATTGCTTAAATAGTATCGTGATTAGCGATAACGCGAAGTTCTAAGATCACTTCGCCCTTGTTCTTATCGATTTTCATGATTTTTCGGTTCGACTCCGGGACCACGATGACATCATCAGATCCAATTCTCTTAACAGGTGCTTCGACTAATTTGTAGCGCGTGATCGGTAGCTCCTCTTTGTTCACTTCGATGGACGGCTTTTCCGGCACGGCAAGCGTGAACACCTAATTCGGACATTAATGCGACATTTATGATATTACTGCGAAGCGGGAATTGCGTTGATATTTGTTCATGGAAAATTTTCCAGTTAATCAGATTAACCGGCACGAAATTTATACGGCTTTAATTTGCAATTGTTATCGATGACCGATTTATTAAGTAATACAAAATGGGAAGAAATTTTTTCAAAAAATCGCACTGGACAGAATTACAATCTTTTGTTCTTTCATTTCTGTAGTGAAAGATAATCAATGATATTTTACCGAATAAAAGACACTCTTACTGATACTTTTAGATATTCGATTATCTTATTCCATAACTCTTCTCTAATTTCGTATGATCTTTAAGTTTCTTAAAAGAAGAAATAATTTGAAAAAAACTGAAAAGACGTGAAGAATTATTATCTAATATTCATTTGAATTAATCATTTAGTTAATAGAAATATAATGAATATTCTCTTTATTCTTAACCTCAAAAAAAAGAAAAATAAAATAATTTACCGATTCATACTTACTTGTGATATTAATTTTTCAAAATTTTATTACAGATAATAAATAACATAAGAGGTAACATAATCACCTAAAAAAAAAAAAGAAAATACTGATATATTCATAATAGACATATATACAACGAAAACATTATTAACTTTTATTGTCAATCACAAGATATACATCTGCATAAATTGCACGATAATCTCTTCCATAATCTCACAACCGTAATTAAAAGTTGTTAAATAATCTAGTCTATTATCACAATAATTTCAATCGATCAAAGTCTATCAAGATAACATTTCAGAAGAACGAAAAGACTCACCTTATTAACAGGACGTATCTTATTATCAAACTCGTTCAAATCCCCTGCGGAAAAACTCAAATCTAAATCCCGCGATGACTGTTCATTTGGAATAGGATAGGATGAATCCGCATAACGATTCTCATCCAAATTCGGCAAATAATAAACTCGTCCATTGATAACGGTTACGAAGATCGTCAAGACGATGGTAAAAATATGAAAATTCTTCATCATTTTGCGAACACAGAGGAAACTATGGAGCTGGAGCTTCGTGCACTCGACGTTACTCGATCGTGACGACAAAAATAATGAAACAGAACTTTTCTCATGACAGCTGGCAGATCCATTAATCCATCGTAAGGCGATTACAGACCGTTCCACGAAATGATTAATTAAGAACGCAACCTGCGAATGAACGAAGAAACGAATAACAATTTCGCATTGGTCTAACTGTAAATGAAAGGTTTGTTTTCGTGGTTACAGAAGTGAATGTACCTTTTTTTTTTTTTTTTTTTTTTTTAGTCAGAAAGTTTTGAACTGCATTAAAAAATGAAAAATGAAACCAAGTATTATTTCGATATTTTGTAACAATGACTGGAAATTGAATACGAACTGCGTTTAAAATATATTTATGTTGACCATGTGTTTGTTTCGCTAACTAGTAAATACTTTTCATCGGCAGTAAATGGATCTGTTCCGAAGCACCCAATTATGAGAATGTTAAAATCCATTTATTCTGTAGGATCAATAATTTTTAATAGCTTTACCTGAAATTTGTAAAATTTAATGTAAAAAAGATACGACGTATCGACACAAATAAACCATTGAATAAGAGGTTATGTTTCTTATTACTTTAAGAAGATGATCAAATATACACAACTACTTTATACTTTTGTCTTAGAGAAAAATCTATTGAATTTTCAACATTATACATCACTTATTGCTCACTTTTGTAAAACTCTATTAACAACGAGTATCATCATTTTAACACCGATAGTTGACGTAGTAAAACACTTCGCGCACTACTTGCCCGTATAAGAACAAAGGCTAAGGAGGACAGCGAGAGAAAGAGAGAGAAAGAACAAATATTAAGCAGAAAATTTCTAGCTACTCTATCAGCAGCTTTTGCATTTCGATTTGACGATTCCTCGAATTGATCGGACGCAGCGATTATGAACCTCGAAGCAGAAAATAAATCGCAGAACTCCAAACTGAAAGCGTCGCGAAATTCACGAGATAGATACCTATAGATCGCCGATTTATTGTCCGCTTCGAATCGGCGTTCTCTTTAAAGGCAGAAAACACGGTTTTCACTCGTAAAGGGGTGAAAACGAAACGGGGATCAGGGGAGGAACTACAGACGGGAAGAGGTGAGCGGGTGTGCATGTGCATTATTGGAACGCGACGAGAGATTAAAAACGACTTTTTCCAAAGGATCGGTTCCATTGACTGGGGTGCATTGCGGCGAGTCCTGAATAATGCATGAAATTTGTTCCCCGGAATCGAATCGCTTCTCGTCACCGCCGGCACCGGAACAAGAGAGCGGGCATAAATCTAAATAATTTCAACTCTCGAATTTTTATTATTCCTATGACTACGTCTGCGCCTCCGCGCTGAATATGCATGCCTCGCTTTCCGCACTTTACTCTCGAGTGTTCCACCTTTTGTGTAACCAGCCCTTCGCCGCAACCGATGATGCACCTTGCGCTTGCCCGAACCGCCGATCGCGCTTACAAGGAAAGTGCAAGTCCTTCGGATCACCGATTTAGTTGAAACTTTGCAGGTTTGTAGATATCGTCATGCAGTTTAAAAAAATATATTATTATAGCCGCAACTACTCAATAGTTTTTGAAATATTTACGATTGAAGTTTTATTACCTACCTAATTATACCTGAATTGCTAAATTGTTCTGCGCTACATTGTAGCGTAACGGCCATGTCTTAGAATTGCAATACCAGAGGATCGGGGTTCGATTCCCGTTCCATATTTGTAATTTTTTTCAATTTATTTTTTATTTTGTACTCATTTTTCGCCTATGGAAACATTGTAAATACACAATTATAAATAAAGTTTCTTAATAAAAAAATTTATTCCGTACGCTTCCTTATGCTAGTATATATTTATTACAAAATAATATTATGTAAGAAAAATACTTTTCTATAGCAATCTTGTTTACTACAGGAAATACAAAACCTATCGCTCATGTAAGTATTAATTATTAAATTAAACATCCTATAAGAATGTTGCCTATAATTTCAACTTTGCTGTGCAGCTAGAAATGTTCATGAAATAATTACAAAAACTTGGAAATTTATTAATTTTCTACAGCCGAAATGATTTCTAGTATCTAGTTTGAATACAAATTTTACCGCCTGCGATCAGCGCCATCTATGATTTTGGACCATTTGCTCGGAAAAGTGATAGGAATATAGAATAGGCAAAGAGGTCGTCGAAGAGCTCGTCACGTGACAGACAAGGACAGAGAGTTAATAGAAAAGGATAGTATGGCTCCGGCAGTGAAAAATTATTAATTACTCAATTTCTGTAATTAATTTATGAACTTTTATAATTTCATTGCAAAGCTGGAACTTCAGGCTACATTCTTATATAATATTCGTAAAGAATTTAACTCTAAATTGTTAGTTATTAATTTTTGTTTGATGGCCTCTATGATTTCGTAACGACGACCATCACGATCTTCCTTGAAGACATTTAATGCTCAACGAAACTAGAAACAAAATGTGAACAAAAGTGATATGAGAAGATTCGCACGAACATTGTCTTTCTAATGAGTGCATAAAACTTCATAAATTAATTGCGTAAGGTATAGTAATTAATGAAAAACCAATGGCGTCTTCGACAACAATTCAAACACTGCGCAGAACAATTATTAATAATTAATTAATTCGGGACAAATTTATATCGAAAAATATATTGAAAAGTTCATGGAGGATCTGCCTTTACGATGCAATTATGAAAGTTCATAAATTAATCACAGATATAGAGTAATAAGTGTATTTTCCACTGCCGATTTGATTTATTAAAATATATTCCGAGCACATAACCAGAGTTAGTAAACTAACATCAGACCCATCTATGATGTTAGACTCGAAGCTCGAGTTCCGCAACGAGAACATAGATGCTCAGATGTTAGTTTACTAACTCTGGTTATCTGCTCCGAATATATTTTAATATATTTTAATAAATCAAATCATGAAGTTTTCTACATTCTTTAATAAATTCAGCCCAAACAGCGGTTTTAATTAGGCAATCAGCATTCATTTCTTTATTTGACCGACGACAAATATGCAAAGGTACGCCTTTATAACGCAAGTATAAAATTTCGTAAATTAATCACAGAAATTGAGTGATTTGTTAATTTTTCTCCAAGTGAACAGAAGAATGCATAGGAAATGAGAAAAAATTGCAAACAAACGCCGGAAGCATTGTTGAGTCCATGCAGTTGTGCCTGCATTACGAAAAGGATGTAAGTATTTGTATTAACATAACCTTTAATTGTAATTAAATAGCGTAAGTTATGAGGCATTGTTTTTCCACCTTTCATTAGTGATAACAGAGCTTGATTATGAAAGGACAATATTTTGTTGAAATAAACAGGCACGTGCAACAGTGAAAAAAATATTGGACTCATGGAGTATCATCAGCATAGAGCCAATAGATGCCAAGAATTATATTTTATAGCGAGAAAAAATTGAAGCAGCGATACAAATATGTAAGGTATGATATGTCTATTGGATTCTAGGTTGGCTAAGCATATGATATACAAGATACAAATCTTTGATGGTAAAATAAAGATTCAGAAAATGGAGATGGTCTATGCAGACAAAAAAGAATACAATTAATTTAGGTAATGGCCTCTTATAACAAAATATAGATAATAGAGTGAAATTCAAAGGTATGTTGTGTTCTTGATTTGAAGAAATATTAATATCTGTGGTCAAAGTCAATGGTCATTGTTAATGTGTTAAGTTTCAGAATGACGGAGCTGAAATACATAAAGAAAAGGGGGAAGTTCAAATGAAAGCAGTGGGAAGAGGAAATGTATATTATGCGGAATCAAGAAACAGAAAAGAAGCAGCATATGTATCAACAGAGAAAAATGTGTGGCATCGACATGGAAATATGAGGATCATTGAAGAGATGGAGAATGAACAAGTGGTAATAATTATGAATGGTAAAGATAAATTGAATATAGAGTGTAAATATTGCATTAAGGCAAAAATGTGTTGAAATATCTATAGGAACTTGGAAACTACTAGCAGGAATAATGGGGCTGTGGTACATGGAATTGATTGGCCCAATAAAGTCAACGTTAAAAGGAGGTAAAAGGTATGTCTTACCTGCTGATGATTATTCGAGATAAGAATCATTTGGTTGACTGATTTACAAATGATTAGAAATTTGGTGTGAAATATTATTGTTGAATGATTTTTTTTATTACAGGAGACTTACAAACATGAGTAATATTTATATGCAAGAGTCAGCCACTAAGAGTAAAGTAAGTATTAGTTAATAATATTTCAATGAATTGTATATCTGTTTTTAAAAATTTAACCGATATACAATATTTACTTTCTAAATTTCTATATTAATATATCAAATAATTTCTAATTTGAATTACAATAATAAATAATAAATTTTAATAACTTTGATTTTAAAAATATTTTACATTAATAAAATTAATATATTTGTTACAACAAGGTTACAATGAAAACAACTATTGGTGATATTGATTTAGAATTATGGGCAAAAGAAACTCCTATGGCATGTAAAAATTTTATACAATTATGTATGGGAGGTTATTACCATGACACTATATTTCATAGAATTATCCAAGAATTCATAACACACGGTGGTGAACACAGGTACAGGAGAAGGTGGTAAAATTTATGGAGAACCATTTAAAGTGAGACTACATTTAAAAATATAATGAATTCCTTTTTTATGTAAAAATAATTATTGGATATATGTGTTTTAGGACGATTTTCGTACAAGATTATGTTCATGTGCACGAGGTTTAATTGCAATGGCTAATGATGGAGAAGATGACAATGGTTCCCAATTCTTCTTTACTCTTGGTTCTACATTAGAATTGCAGAATAAACATACAATTTTTGTAAGGTTACAGGAGAAACTATATATACCATGCTTGAACTTGAAGAAGTACTTGTAGATGAGGTAAATTTAATGTTTACAAAAAAATATATCAAGAATTAATATAAATATAATATAATCCTATTTTTTATAGAATGATAGGCCACT